CTGTGAGGTCTCGCTGCTGGGATGGCCTCTAAAGTATGGAGAAAGTAACAAGGGTTCAGGCCAAGTGAAGGTAAAATGCCAGTACCGCTGTGGCTGCCAGTGAAGAGGGTGGGACAGGATGCCATGAGGAGCTTATGGCAATGCCAGAGAGATGATCTCAATACAGGTGCAGGTCCCTGGGGTTCTGGAGCAAGGCCGTGCCTTCCAGCAGAGAAGTAAATACCCTTTAAACAATAATTCTAGTGTACATTCTGGGCTCTGGTAGAGAAAGAATACCTAGCTCTGGGACACTAAGTGAAATGTCCATCATAAGCTGGGTCTAAGGGTCAGATAGGGCCAATGGCAGGTGCACAGCTGGGATCAGACACAAACACCAGCGAGCATAGGTGAGATGCATAAGCAAGTGGCCCAGACCCACAAGCCACGCACCACTGCTGTACCAGTGCCCCGCCTCAGTTAACATCTATGGCTGAATGGGGATCCCCTGTGAATAAGCTTGGTTGGTTTATGGATGGTCTGGCTCAAAAGAACATGTGAGGGGAATGCTCTGAAATGGGGAATATGCCTGATCATTCATCTGTTGTAAGAGAACTTCACCAGGGTTAGAATCCAGAATGAGCATGGTAGTGGTGAACGGTTTATCTGGCTACCCAGGGTTCTGGAAAATTGGGGACACAGATGTGTAGGCTAGAGGCATACAGATACGTAACTGGGGAATGGTATAGACTGCTGGCATGTCAGTGTCCACCAGAGAGCACCCACCACGAAGAGGAACTAAACAACTACATAAGAAAGGTGACACTAGCCAGTGTTGGTTGTTTGGCCTGCTGGTGCTGGAGCTCAACAGCATGGGCTCTGACCTATCAAGGCTGGTTCAGCTACTGTAGTGGCTGGACATGAAGCCTTCTAGTAGCAGACACCAATGCCAAGCGACCTGCTTGGCATCATTCCTGAAGCAACTAGCCAGCCAAGTATAAGTTGACTGTTTAAGCAAGCATGTCAAACTCATAGCCAGTGGGCCGCAAGTTTGACATGCTTGGTATAGGAACAGACGCTTACTGAGGGTTTGAGTTTGCTTTCCTGCCTGTAAGTCCTTAGAGGACCTCACTCTGAGGCTGATGGGTTGTCACAGAACACAATACCAGACCAGAATATCCTCCTTCCAGCAAAGGAGGTATAGGAATGGGTCCTCTGGTGGAATTACATTCAGCACCTGCAGAAGCTGCCAGCCTAGGAGCACTGGGATGACCCACACCACGAAAGGAGCACCAGCCAGCAGGTGTGCTCCTGGAGGATGGGCACTGTCTTTCAATTCACAGTATACACAATGCAAAGACCTTGATATTGTACCATGTTCACAACAGGAAGAACAGCCTGGGAGAGAAAGGGTGGAAGCAGGAGTGGCTGCACTTAGGATCCCTCCCAATGATCTACTGAGGACATTGTGCTCCTCTCCTCACATCTCTGGGCGCTGCTTTGCTGGCAGACACAACAAGGGTCCCAGAGAACTTGAAACTCTCACCACTGTCTGAGCACTTGATGTCTGAGTCCAGGGCCAGCAGGAGAGGAGGGGATGTCTGGAATCCTGGGGTCCACCAGGAGCCCCTCCCTCCTCCTTCCCTGTCAACTTCGGCTGAGCAGAGCATGATAACCCAGCCTCAGGCCTCTTGGTGACCAGTGACGTACCACCAGGGCAGCACTGAGGCCTGCAGAGGTGGTGAGGGGGTGGTCTAATACAGAAAGGAAGATGATGAGGTGAGGGAGGACTAAGAACAGCTATTTAAAACTTTCTATCTTGGGGAATAATTTTAGACTTATTGAAAGATTACAAAAGTAGTAGAGAGAGTTCTTGTCAACCCATCATCCAGCTCTCCCTTAACATTAACATTTTATATGACATTTTACAGTGATCAAAACCATAACTGATACAATACTATGAATGGAACTACAAATCCTGCACAAATGTTGCCAGTTTTCCCACTGCTGTCCTTTCTCTGATCAGGATTCTGAGAAGCCACCCTATGCTGAGCTGTCAGGTCCCCTTGGCCTCCCCAGTCTGCAAAGGATTCTCAGCCCTTTGGTGAGTTCTCTGACTGTGGCAGAAGGGCACTGCTCCGCATCTATAGACTGCCACACCTGGGCCTGCCTGGCACTCCCTGGATGAGACTGAGGCAATGCACATCTGGCACGACTCTAGCAGGGTGATGCGATGTCATTCTCTGGGAAGCACATGAGGGCAAACCATAGCCAACAGGCTTTATTTCCGGTGAACTTTAATCTCTCAGGAAGGAGGTGTCTGCAGACTTCTCTACTTGAAAGTTACTGATTTTTCTATCATAAGTAAAGAGAGGATGCCTATATCCTTCTCATGGTACTTTTACTACCCACTAATTTTAACATCCATGTGGTTCTTGCCTGCAGCAGTTATCACTGTCTAATCCTCCTCCTCTCAATCTCCCCAGGAAGAGAGGGCTCTGGAACCTGGAGGAACTGACCCTGCAAACTGCTCGAAGAGGCAGATCCAAGGGCTAAGAGGTGGGCTGTGGCGCGCACAGCGATGCGCGCTGAGATCCACTGCAGGGAGATCTTGCTGCCCAGCTGCTAGCAGTGCCATCAGCAGACATGCATGAGCTCCTGGGGGGACTCCCCCATTGCAGAGAGCCACTGTCCACGGGCACAGCCCACTCTCAGTGATAATGGTCCACTGTGGTACATCTACTAAGAGGCCATATATGCCCCAGAGCTCCCTCCCATGGGATAGCCGAAGCTTTGTTAGGCCTGTTCACAGTTCAATTTCTCCCCCATCTCTTCCTTGTCCCTTCAATAGGTGCTGGATACTTAATTCCACTTACCATCTGCTTTTGGAGACGCTATAGAAATACCTCAGAGATACTGCAGATTGGATTCCAGACCATCGCAATAAAGTGAATATGACAATAAAGCAATTCACATGAAACTTTGTTTCCCAATGCATATACAAGTTATGTTCACACTGTAGTCTATTACATGTGCAATAGCAGGTAAAGAGACAATGTACATATTTTAATTTAAAAACACTTTGTCACTAGAAAATGCTAACCAGCACCTGAGTCGTCAGCAGGCCATTATCTTTGCAGGTGGAGGGTCCTGCTCGATGTTGACAGCTGCACACCAATCAGGTTGTTGGTTGCTGAATGTTGGGGTGGCTGTGGCAATTTCTTAAAATAAGACAAGACTGAAGTTTGCCACATTGTCTCTTCTTTTCATGAACAAATTGACTCTCTGTAGCATGTGATACATTGGAGCCAGTCCTCTCAAACCTGCTGCTGCTTTATCAGCGAAGTTTATGTAATATTCTAAATCCTTTTTGCCACTCCAACAATGTTCACAGTATTTTCACAAGTAGATTCCGTCTTAAAAAAAAACCCACTTTTTTTACTCATCGATGAGAAGCAACTCCCCATCTGTTACAGGTTTATCATGTATGCAGCATCAGTCACTTCTTCAAGTTCTACTTCTAACTCTAGTCTTTCTATTTCCATCACATCTTCCTCCATGAGGGCTTGAAAACCCAAAGGCACCCATGAGGGTTGGAATCAACTCATTCCAAACTGTTAACATTGATATAATATTTTGACCGGGAAATCCTTTCTGGAAGGATTTCAATGTACTTTGTAAGGCAGCTATAGCCTTACAAAATGTATTCCTTAAGTAGTAAGACTTGAAAACCAAAATTATTCCTTAAGTCTATGGGCTGTAGAATGGATGTGGTGTTAGGCATGAAGACAACATTAGTTTCACTGTACATCTCTGTCGGAGATCTTGGTTGACCAGGTGGATTGTCAATGAGCAGTAATATTTTGAAAGAAAATTTTTTTTCTAAACAGTAGGTCTCAACAGTGGGCTTGAAATATTCAGTAAATCATGTTGTAAACAGATGAGCTATCATTCAGGATTTGCTGTTCCATTTACTGAGCACAGGCAGAGTTGATTTAGTATAATTCTTCAGGGCCCAAGGATTTTTGGAGTGGTAAGTGAACATCGACTTCAGCTGAAAGTCACCAACTGCTTTAGCCCCTCGGAGGTCAGCCTGTCCTTAGAAGCCAGGCATTGGCTTCTCCTCGCGAGTTATGAAATCCATAGACGGCATCTTCTTCCAACATGGCCGCCTTTATTATCTGGCCTAGATCCTAGATCTTCAGGGTAACTTGCTGCAGCTTCTACATCAGCTCTTGCCTCTTCACTCTGCACTTTTATGTCAGTGAGGTAGCGTCTTTCCTTAAACCCCAATCTCTGCTGGCTTCAGACTTTTCTTTCGCAGCTTTCTCTCTTCTCTCGACTTCCATAGATTTGAAGAGAGTTAGGACCTTACTCTGGATTAGGCTTTGGAGTCAGGGAAAGCCATAGCTTGTTTGATTTTAAAACCTCCTACGCATCAGCAATAAGGTTATTTTGCTTTTTTATCAGTTGCATGTGCACTGGAGTAGCATTTTTCATTTTCTTCTAGAGCTTTTCCTTTGCGTTCATAGCTTGGCTAACTGATGCAAGAGGTCTAGCTTTTGGCCTATCTTGGCTTTCAACACACCTTCCTCACTAAGCTACATCATTTCTAAGTTCTCATTTAAGGTGAGACAATGTGACTCTTCCTTTCACTTAGTGTAGCTTTTAGGTAATTAGGTATATTAGACCTTTCCAGTGCAAACTCTGTTGTATGGTTACAAATTATTTACTAATAGTGAATGTCAATGTTAACTATGTAGAGATATAGATTTCTCACTGAATGAGGTCCTTCTCTAGGACATAACATTAAACAGTGTCCATAAATGTTCCATAAATAGGAAAATGTATGATTTTATGAATTAAAAATAATAATTATAAGTTAATAATAAGAAATGAATTACAAATGTATTTGATAAAAAGTCCCCATAGAATGACACCCTGTATATATTTAGAAAACCAATAACCAGGCTAAATTTCTTCAGGAAGTTTTCTAAAATTATTTTTTGAAAAGAGGTACTCACAGATGCTCCTCCCATAATCTTGGGAAACATAACGGTGGAACAGCCATCTGGACTCTGTCCGAAGGTAGTATAGGGTGTTTGAAACCAAGCCTTTTCATTGGCCCAAACCACATCACAAAGAGGCAATATGGACGCTCCTAGTCCAATGGCAGGGCCATTTACTGCTACAATAATAGGCTTCTTAAACTGAATGAAAGTATTCACGAAGTTTCTAAAATGAAAAATAAATGGGGAATTACTCAAAATATTATGTATTCGAGCAACAAAAACCCCACTATTATGTTCAATTTACTAGGATGTAAACTCTGTGAAAATTATGAGTTGAGATTTGTTGAAGGTCTTCCCTCAGAAGTTGTAGACCATAAATTTATTTGCCGTGTTATACAGACTTACTGATACCTGAGCTGCCATGCTGGAAGTGGCAGTTGCCACAGGACCTATCTGAAGATGATGGGCAATACACAGCCTGAGGCTGCTCTTATATCTGCTGTGGCTCATGGGCTCTATGACCAGTATGTCTTTTCCCTCAGCCTCCTTTCCCTTAAGACACAACGAGCCCAATAAATATCATGAGCTTCAGATGACCAATCTAGAAGGTCTGACAGAGAAAATCTGGCACAGGGCATACTATAACACTGTCCAATGTTGAGCAAAGACTAGAGAACTGGGGTCAGGAACCATGGGGTTGGGATCTGGACTGGATAGGTGATTTTAGACAGCTGATTATTTGGAAATAACAGATATTTCCCAAGTTTATATAGGATTAGACTGAATGCCATTGGGGATATAGAGACAAGAAGCTTACAGGCTGGTTTAAAATAATGAAATTCAAACAAGAACAAAAACCAGACACCATTTTGAACCCCACTGTGTCTTGTGGAATACAATTAAAGCGGGATTTCAGAAAAGAGTGAGACTAAGGGCAGGATGGCCTTCACAGAGGATGGGAATTTCTACAAAATGAGCCAAGCTTATTGGTAGATTTGTTTTAGGTTCAGGCTGGAATAGTAGGCTGCTTTAGGGTAAGTTGGTGCCATGCCATACTGCGAATGTGCATCTTTTCCACCACTAGAAGTTCATTTTATGCTCAGAGGTTGCTTTCTTGTTCTGCTTTAACATGAGGAAGAGAAGGAAAAATACACACCAAAATAATTACCCAGTAATTCCTTTAAGGCAGTCTTAGTTCTAGATCAGAATCACAGAATTCTAAATTCTAAATCTGACCCCTATCTTTGGGGGTTCTCTACCATTCAGCAATTTAAAAAGCTAGAGCATTCTGTTCAGATTATCTCTGAAAATCATGATTTGGCATCTTAGATAGTACCCTTACCCTCCACTGACACAGAGGGTCATATATTTTTTGAGGACAGGTTTGAGAGGTGTGTGTGTGTGTGTGTGTGTGTGCGTGTGTGTTTGTAGAACAGGAAAAAGGGAGGGATTATAAGCAGAATTTGGCAGCTTGCAAGCCTAACTCCACAACTATTCTCAAAAGCACCCATAGTCATAGGCCTCAGCCTGGTCCCCAAGGATTGCTGAATCTTTATCTTGAGTAAAAATAAATTCATTCAAATGAATGAGTTGCACTAGACTTTTTAAATGAGAGCACCTAAGGCATTAGTGTAGCAAGATCACATTGGATTTTACTGATACAAGGAGAGCCAGGCAACCTTTTAAATAGGTTGAAATAACTGTTGACAATCTACTTGAAGATACTTCAGTTATGCCACCTTTTGAGGATTTGGGTCAGTACACATGATAGAAATACATTTTGTAAGCTCAGTTATTGATGACTCTTGACAAGGTAACTGCTGAATTTATTTCCATGATATAAAGCAAGACATTTTCAAAACATGTTTCTCCACTTTCATGTACCTCATATGAACATCTGGAAACTACGAATGGGATGGTAGGTTAATACGGAAAAATGATCAAAATAGTGTAATAATAAATTCTACAGAGAAATGGTAAAGGAATTAATTATTCCATGTAGCAGTGTTTTCTCTCTCTACATGTTTGGATAAAAGAAAAAAGGTTCTAAAATAGATATTGCAATTAATCTTATATTTTTAACAAGCTGGAGAAATATTTTCGGAACTGGATTTCCCACCCCTTAGATACTGCTTTAATTGTTATTTTTGCTTGGAACGGTAACTTAATCTGAAAGCCACCACTGTTTCTGAAAAGGGGATAAATTAGCCAGACTCTCTGGGGTGAAGGCCATGTTCCCTTTTCAGAGAACAAAACCTGGACCTTTCTAAAGTGTAAACTCTGGGATGCCAGAGATGAGCATGGTTCTCAGAGAAATTGGTTTTGTTTAAAAACAAAAAAACAAAACAAAACTTTATGGAGTTGCTTTTCTGTTTAATAGAAACTTCCCAAAGTCACTAGCAGAAGTGGGGATGGGGAGCTGCCTTCAGGGAAGGGGATGAAGCTCCAGGGGCCTGGCATTCAAGGAGAACCTATCTTCCTTGCTTCTGCAAGTTATTTTAAAACAAAATCAAAATGCATGAACGTTCAAATGTGCTCGGCTCAATGCAACATATTGAATTTAAAATTCAGTTTCCTTTGAATTTTCTGCAAATTGAATTAAAGACCGTGCTGGGTATGACAGGGAAGGAAAGATCAGGCCACAAATGGAGTATTAAAAGACTTATAATTAAGCAAAATAAAAATTCTATCCATTCTTTTGAAGAACACTTACGACTTCAGTTATACCAAGGAGAAACTCACATAAAACCCACTACTCTAAGAACCGTTTTGGGGAAAGGAGGCCACCAGATGCAAAGTTTTAGCAACACTGCCCTATCTCAGCTGAGCTTTCCCTTCATAGTGAATATACAGAATAGGGCTGAGCGAGGAAGAGGTTGAGTTCTAGGGGCATTTTACTCACTGGCCCTGTTCTTCACCCAGGTCCCTCTTTGTCTCACTCTGTGGTGGTGAAGACGCCCCCCTTTTGGGGAGAGAAGGTGCTCCCTCTGGGGAGAGAAGGCTCCCTGGTTTTTCAGTTCCCGAAGATTTCAAAAGTCTAACTTTACAAACTGACTCATAATAATTTTATCACTAATGTACCAAATATTTTTATTACAATTTATTTGCAAGCTCTTTATCATCAACAATTCTGATAACAGAATTATCGGCAATAGATTCCCGACAAAGCTAATGTTTAAATCTAATCTTATTTCCTACTTTACTTTGGAAACTTGCTATAATGACATTCCTTGCCCCAAAGTTTTAAGAAATCAAGACAAGATACCACAGAAACAAAAAATATACATATCAATAGCTTTATGTGTGTAGGCTAATTTTATGCATATAAAACTTTACTGAAATGCAAATGAGCAAGAGTAAAAGTTAAGTGAACCCGGTATAATTAATTATTTTTAGGATCCTACTCATGTACATTAAGAAAAATTCACAATGACAAAATATGTTCATTTAAAGAAGACCCAAGTTTCCCTAAAGCAGGATTTGACTTTTCCCTAGAATACTGATTCAGTTCTCGTGAGGAGTGAGGAGAGTGGGAAGGTCAGAAGAAAAATGTTGGAGTGGGTAGTTGGTGAAAATAAACATTTAACATCACCTAGAAGTTTAACAAATGAAATCCCTCTAATCTATCTTTCCTCTGCTTTTTCTAATCCCAACAACACAAGCTTTAGTGTTGACAAGAGCAATTCAACACTGGAGGAATGGGTTGGGATTAGAGTTGAGGCACCAACAAGATTTAGAAATGGCGCGTTGGGAAATGCCTGTGGGGTGAAGTGAGCCAACACTGAGAAGCATTGGCTGGCAAAGTATATTTTATCATCACAGCAGATCTCCCCAAATCACAGTAATATGTGTAAAATCAGTGTGCTGTTACAGAAAACATGCAATCACCATTTAAAACATGTCTTGTACCAGAAAAATAAAAATTAAGTTCACTAGTTCATCCTGAAAAGATAGAATGGACTTAACAATTAGGATTGCCTTAGAGGTACTGATAATCTGTCAAGGAATCACATGGATGATCAAACAATTTAATTTCAAACTGAATAACAAGATGGTCCCATCTAGCATTCTACAAATTTGAAATTATTTAGGAGACTAAAAATAATACTTGAAATTTAAGTATTTTTGAAAAACTACTACATGATAGCTTAAGAAATGGTAATGTTCAAGAAGACTTAAGAAATAGATAATGTCCTGTATTCATGTATATATCATGAGAAAACATAATTTTGAAAATCATTAACAATGTTATAAAAGGCCAAAGTAATGCCCTTTGATCTGTCAGAGAGAGATGCCACACACAACTTCAGACCCACCAAAACAGAAACCCACTCCACCAATCTTGACACGTACTTCTGAATGGTATAGGGACCATAAAGCTGTGCCCTCAAGGCCACTGCTTAAGGACTCAGCCACCTGGAGCCCAATAATTATCAAAAGAGGCTCAACTTCAACTCTTCAAATACCTAGGGGTTGGGAGACCAGCTAACCAACTTTATTGCCATTTCGCAAATCTGTGACTCTCTCTGTTTTCATCTTTCTGTAAATAACAAATTGTTCTTAATGGATCACTCAGGGACATGTCATTTTAGGGAGGTGTGTGGGAAGCACAATGGTCCTCTTGGTTGGTGACTGGGCTTCATTCACTTTAATCTTCACTCAAGGCTTTATTTATTTATTTATTTATTTATTTATGGAGGGAGGGAGGGAGGGAGGGAGGGAGGGAGGGAGGGAGGGAGGGAGAAGAGGGATATTGACAGACCGACATTGCTGCGAGAGAAAAACATGAACTAGTTGTCTCTCATATGCATCTCATCCAGGGACCAAACCCGCAACGTAGGTATGCGACTGGTAATCAAACCTTCGACCTTTTCGTTCATGGGATGCCACTCCAACCAACTGAACCACACCAGCGAGGGCTGGATTTCATTCACTTTAAATAAATAAATACATTTCACTATGGAAAATTAGATACAGTAATTACCACGAGAAATGAGAGACATAAAATATAGGTATATGGACATGCCTATAGCAGAAATATGTGGTTCTAGGAAAAGATTTTTCAACTGTTAAGATATAGTGGAAAAATCCAGAAACAGAGAAAATGAAAACATGTAGTCATATTATTAAATGAAAAAAGGAAGTTGGTACATTTATTTAACAGAAACAAAAATAAAGCTTTATTATTTGTGTGTATGTGGAATACATATTTAAAACTGTTTAGAAAATGGTTGGGGAAGACATACAAATGAACTGTAGATGGGAGGTGAGATAGAGGAAACTTTTACTTTTTACTCTATGTTATAGCTTTATGTGTCGTTGACACTCAGATAAATTTGAACAAAAATGTGTATTGCTTATACTAAAAAAAAAAAAAGATACAAAACTTTTCATGTGATGTTATGAAAGAGGAACATAATAAAGCGTGGACAATTTATTTTAGAGTCAAGCAAATGTAAATTATGTGAAAGAGAATGCATCTTTATTTAAGGAACAAAGGAAGAACACACTCATATGACAAATAATGTGGCTATATGCTATTATATATTCTAACCATTAAACAAACATTCCCTGTGCACTTCACAGGGTTTGAGCCAGACTTGAAATCAGTTATTTGCCCAAGGCAAGTAGCAATGTATGGCAGAAAAGAGATGCAAATGAGCAAGAGTAAAAGTTAAGTGAATCCAGTAAAATTAATTATTTTTAGGATCCTGCTGGTGTACATTAAGAAAAATTCACATTGACAAAAATATATTCATTTACAGAAAAGATAGATGATTTAATTACTTTTATTAATCGTGTCTCCCAGTGGAAGGAGCATTTCATTCACAAGCTTGTTTAAGCCTCTCCTATCAGCCACTGGTAACTAAAAGCAAAACACTCAAATCAATGTTTTGAAAACATCATTCATGCGTACCTGATAGCTTCAGCCATTTTAGTGCTTTCTCTTTTTCTGTCATCTGTTAAGCGCCGTATGAAATACAGAAAGTCGAGACCACAGCAGAAGACGCTGCCCACTGCGCTGAGCAGCACGAGCTTGCTGTCGTCGGCAGCAGCCGTGCTCAGTGCGCTCTGGACTTCTTTCATTACCTGAAAGTCACCAAAAATTAAAGTGGCAAAGAGTATTTTTGATACAGAATCCTAAAAGCATTTCTTTGTGGAATATCTAGATCTACACAAAGTACATTTACAGTCTTATACTGTTCCCTGTATCTATCACAATCTAAAATAATCCACGAATTTCTTATTTCTGTAACCAGAGATTGGGAATGCTAGCCAGAGAGTATAATTGGAAAGACATGTGAATCTAAGTTACCTTAATATTTTAGTCATTGTGGTTCTCAGAAGATAAGGCAAATTACATATTATGTCCACTTGGAATTTCTACACTTTAGACAGCAGCTGACACATTCAACCATTGAAAGAAACCAGTTCAGTTCCCTGGGTTTTGTTATTGTTGTTGAACACCAGCCTGCCACACTTGAGACAGAAATCCCAATAGTGTGGTACTTAAGTGCATCAGGTGCAAGGATATGAGCATGGAGACATATTAGAAAGGCACAAAACCATTTGGAATGATCACTGCAGCATTTACAAATAACCAATGAAGGGGCTCTGTAGTCTGAAAATGGACTGGAAACCAGTGCCGAACTGATTTGTCATGTGACCCTGGCCAGATATACAACTTAATGCAGTTTAATTTTCTTGTTTGGGAAAAACTTGACCTAGCTGCTCACAAATGGAAAACAAGCAATTAGCAGAACTTAAAATCTTAAGTAAGATACAATGCAGGTTCAAATACTTCTGATTTGAGATATTATTAGAACCAAGGTTATCTATTTAGGTAAAAGAATTAAACCTTTGCAAGCATTAGTTTCCCTTAACCCTTAAAAACTAACTTTACCAGGTGCTACTAGTAGTGAACATATGCTGAAATCATTGTAGGTGTTAAGTTCCACTTCCACGCTGAAGATTGACTGAGAATGATGTTAAAATACTCTGAAGGGGCTGAAACTCAGGGTTATTTCAGTCTTGTTCCAACAAAGAACCCTTCAAGACTCTAATGAAGGGATAAAGAAAAGAATGTGCACACACACATTCTACATGTAGGGAGGCCGGAATCTCCCAGATGCCTTGCACGCCCCCAGGCTAAGAGCTCATAACCTGGAGTACAATTACCACCTCCTCATTCAGAACTCTGGCTCCTGGTTCCAACCCACACCCATGAGAATGAAGATGGACACTCAACACATGCATACTGTCCTGACTTCACTGCAGTCATGACTGTTATAAGGACCAAGACTGTCACACTTCACCTGTGCTTCCTACCTTCTGATGTTACTGTGAAATGGCCCAGAAGGAGAGTTAGAAAAATCTACAAAAAAATGCCGATTTGGCTGAGCAGGCCTGAAAACAGGGCTTGGAGAAACAGGACGCACAAATCAGCCCAAAGAACATTTCTCACCTCTGGATTTAGTGAGTTATTCTCTGATGATTTTGTTGATAACAAGATGTGGGTGAAGCCATCCTGCTTCCTGACGACAATATCTCTGTATCTGTAGGCACTTTCAGTCTGCCTCACACTGAAACGCAACCGCTTGTCAAAAGGCTGGTCTCTTCTGTCGTCAAGAAATTTCCTTTTCCCGGTCACTCCTGTAACAGATGTCTGTATGTTGGTTGTTCCATTGGCTGTTAATGCGTCCATAAACGGAGATGTACCTGCCAAGAGTTTGAAATCACAGTGGTCTGTGATGTCATGCTACCAATTTCACTCCCAGTATCATCTTTGAATTAGTTAAAAATGTTCCTTACAAACTCAGAATTTTAATGTTTTAATGCAAGAACATTAAAAATCAGAAACGTCGGAAAGCCTACTTTTAAGGGCACGTGTTTTCCATCAAAGTCTGAACAAGGAAATTACCCTCTTGCTTATTCTGCCTAAAAAAGAAAGATGGGAAGGTATTTGCTGAAAGAAGCAACAAAATTTGAGACTTTGAAGAATGGTATTAAAAGAGAATGGGTCTCATAAATAATACCTATTCCAGGCTTAAGAAGTTGAAAGGAAAAGGAAATTGATTCAAGAAAATATCTTATTAGAACAAAGTAATCTATCAACTTGTGTAGACACACAATGCAACCACCATTTTATTTAAAAAAATATTTTTAGATAGAAACATCTATGAGAGAGAAAAATAGATGTTTTCCTGCACACCCCCTACTGGGAATCGAGCCTGCAAACAAGGTACATGCCCTTGACCAGAATTGAACTTCAGTCCATGGGCTGATGATTTATTCACTGAGCCAAACGGTTAGGGTGCAACCATCCGGTTCTGACGGACTGTCCTACCAAGTGGTGCCAAGGTTGCCACCAGCTCTTGTGGGGCACTCAAGATACTCAGGAGTTCCTATGGATGTCCTGGGATGAGACTACTTACGATGCCTGTCTAAGGGTCCTAGCTCTATTACATTTTCTATTGCTAAAGATAGCTCTTTACCGCCACAACAAGTTCCTGCCTGGGTCAGCTCCTGGTTGCCGTTTTTCAATCCATCTTAAAGATATGGTCTCCTGAATTTAATATTTATTATGATAAAGACAAGAGTTTTATTTAATACTTACCAAGAAATGTAATAGTAAGAATTCAAGTATTAGGTAAATAATTATCCTATTTCTATGATCTGTCTACTTATTATCTAACCTGGTAAAGGGTACACAAAGTTTTAGGTAGAAGAAAGGGAAAGAAATGTAAGAAAACGGCTTAATAAAATTAGCAATGGAGAAGTTCTCTAAGGGGAAGAACATGATAAAATATGAGTTGGAAGCATTTCCTCCAAAGTGAAAGAAAACAGGCCAATGCCACCAAAGAAGACTCACAACAGGACATTTACAGAAGTCAAATCATTTTTGATGTAAAACCACCTAACTTTCTATCAACTGGCACAAATATTTTGTAAATTTTTTTTAATCAATTCAGTTTGTTTAAAAATTGGAAGAGATTATAATACATATATATAGTTCAAGAGTCTAAAAATGTAAAAAGATATATGGCAAAAGGCCTCCCATTATCTCACCCTCCTCTAAGGTGCCATCTACCCACGACTCAACCCTCCAGTTAGCCATTGCTGTCTGGTTTCCACGTATCTTTGAAATATCTGTGGACCCTGAGAAAAAAACAGATTCATTTGATGTGAACCCTGAGAAAGAATGTATATGCTGAAATAAACTTTCAATGGTCAACTGAGGGTCCAAATTTAATAAAGAATGAGCCTAGTGGCCATTTGCTGACAGGGGCTTCTCCAATACTCTGTATATTGGGAAAATCCTTAGACTGAACAACCCGCTTCCCACACTATGCCCTGCTTATGTCAGCTGTCTGAGTCACCCACTGCAGGGAAGCCCTAGTTTTGTCTTTCTATCAATGGACTGAAACCTGTCCCGTTCAATCAGAACCGAACAATTGTATCCTCATTTACTTTTATAATGACCAGTCAGAATTGTATAATTTGGACTAACTGAGAACCTGATTGGAAACTTTCTTGATAAAAGGTGGCCTCATCCTAGCCAGATTGCTCAATGGTTAGGGCCATGGTCTGCAAATGGAAGGGTCTTGGGCTCGATTACCTACTGGTCTGGGGCACACACCTCGGCTACAGGTTCCCCAGCCCAAGTAGAGGTCCATTCAGGAGCAATCCCTCTCCTCCCTCCCCTCCATTCTCTAGAAGTCAATGGGAAAAATATCCTCCAGTGAGGATTAAAAAACAACAACAAAAAACCCCCACAAAAACAAACAAACAAACAAACAAACAAACAAACAAAAAACACGGCAGCCTCCCCTCCAGATGCTGTATTTCCCCAGTTTGCAAACTGTTTCTCCTGGGGGGGGGGATTTCCCTTTTCCCGACTTCTTGGGGAATTTTGGGTTATAGTATCGATATATGTAAGCAAATAAGAATATAAATATTTGTACTTCAACCCTCATTTAAAAAACAAAAATGGCAGTATATTAGACATAGTGTTTTGTCATATCTTGTTTTTATTAATTTGCTTCACCTTAGAAATTGTTGTCTATCAGACCAGTTTTCTTATTCTTTTCTAATGCTGCACAGAATTATTAACTGAATAAATGTACTATAATTCATTTTACTAACCCACAGTGCAACATACATTAATATGCGACAATTTTTTGATATTTCAAACAATACTATGATATATAATCTTGGCTTAAGTCATTCTAATGCTTGCAAATCTTTAGGATACGTTTCTAGAGGATTTGTAACCTAAAGTATATCTAACTAAAAGAGCATTTAATAAGCTGTTACCAGTGAGACAAGCTGAATCCTTTCTGAGGACCCTTTCTCATTCTGTTAACCTTCCACTTCTCTGGTACCAGATTATTCCATCTGTGTTCAAAAATGTTCTCCAATCCTTTCTACTCTAGATACTCCCTCTAATCCGCTCTTTTCTTTTCTTTCCTTCCTTTCTTCCTTCCTTCCTTCCTTCCTTCCTTCCTTTCTTTCTTTCTTTCTTTCTTTCTTTCTTTCTTTCTTTCTTTCTTTCCTTCCTTCCTTCCTTCCTTCCTTCCTTCCTTCCTTCCTTCCTTCCTTCCTTCCTTCCTTCCTTCCTTCCTTCCTTCCTTCCTTCCTTCCTTCCTTTTCTTTCTTTCTTAAAATATATTTTATTGATTTTTTACATAGAGGAAGGGAAAGAGATAGAGAGCTAGGAATGTAGATGAGAGAGAGACATCGACCAGCCACCTCTTGCACACCCACTACCGGGGATGTGCCCGCAACCGATGTACATGCCCTTGACCAGAATCGAACCTGGGACCCTTCAGTCTGCAGACTGACACTCTACCACTGAGCCAAACCGGTCTTGGCATCTAATCTGCTCTTTTCAACAGTACCTCTACTTAAACATCCATCACAGCTTGACTTGGTCTATACTTGCTGTCTCTGCTTTTGCCTCTGTCCATCATTCCTCAACCCACTCCAATTTGAAGCTGGAGTTGACATGACAACTTCTTGAGAACAGAGAAATGGATCATGGATGATTATGAACTACTGAACCTAGTGCCCAAAAGACAGGGATACTAATAGAAGAGTTTGATGTAGCTGAGGAAGGATAGAGAAAGAGAAATTAGATTTTATTCAGGTGAAGTTGCTACTGAACACAAAAGAGGGAGAAAAAGTCAAGGCTAGTGATAAGTACTTGGGAATTGGTGCCCAGAAATGATGACTGAATTGAGAGTAGGAACACCAAAGGAAAGGAATGAGCCTGCTGAGGAGAGCCATGTGCAAGGCCAGGAGGCAACAGAGAAGCCAGAAGGCAACAGTAGGCTTCCCAAAAGGAAAGAGGATACCATGGCAACAGGATGTGAAAATAGTGGCGTACACTGAGAGGTAAAGGAGAATGGAAAAGAGGTAATTGGAGGGAGGAGAAGGAGGAGATTAGAAGACAGATAAAAGTTGTTACATAATTTTCAAATCAAGAATTTGCTAAAATGATGCTTTTAGCCCAGTTGACATGGCTCAGTGGTTGAGTATTGACCTATGAACCAGGAGGTCACCGTTTGATTCCCAATCAGGGTATATGCCTGGGTTGTGGGCCTGATCCAGTGTGGAGTGTGTAGAAGGTAGCTGATCAATGATTATCTCTCATCATTGATATTTCTATCTCTCTCGCCTCCCTACCTCTCTGAAATCAACATATATATATATATATATATATATATATATATATATATATATATTTTTTTTTTTTTTTTAATGCTGCTTTAAGGAACAGAGAAATGCAACTGCAGGTGAGTGGACAACTGATTTTTACGTGATGGCTGGCAATAATGATTTCCCTGATTAAAAAGAGATCATATCAGGAATAATCCTGTGCAGATGCAAGCTAGAAGGCCACATGACTTGGGGGAAAAGGTTGAAGTGACAGAGGTGAGATGAATGGAGATAGGCAGGAGGCTCTGGCCTTCTTGGGAAGAGGGATTCTTGCAGATTACACATGCCAGTTTGCTAATAACAAGTGAGAACTATTTGGGTCTTTAAGAGTTACTAACACCAAACTGAATTTTTAATTGGTACTGTACCAAAGCACAATTAGAATGATCTCAGCAAAATAGGGGACAGAGTGTTGGCCTATGTAGCAGGCTTTTATCAGGATAAAATCCCAAACTGTTCTTGTTTCTCAGTGTCATTTCTTTTCCTATTAAAAAAAGCCACACATTCCTTAACTTTCCAAGTTTACCTAGTGGCTTCCTTCCACAAATCAGGATTTCTAAGATATAAAGTACATGTAGCCTTTATATATGAATCAGAAAAAGCCCAAATTCCCCCCCCCCCCCTTTTTTTTTTTAATGCAATGGGTTCTATGGAGCTATCCATGGTTCTACAAATTTAGAAATTGATTCAAGTTGGCTTATGCTGACCAGGACTGTTGAACCTGGCCTTCATCTCTCTGTTAAAACTGTACTGGCTCACCGTTGCCATTACGGTCCCTGCTGATTTTACCCACCCCAATATGATTTGTGAGATCCTGTTATCTACCTATGAGGTGATGTAACATCTCTGTGGCCTACTTTAGAGAAGTGTTTACAGCAGGACTGAATCAGAATCAGACTGTCAGCACTGAGCTAGGTCGTGCCTCCTGCCTGTAGTATCAAATGGCTGGTTTCTTCTGCTTATCTAAATGGCAGATCAAATGCCACCTCCTCAGGGAA